TCTAAAATATTAAATTAACTGAGCTGAATGAGGGCAGTGAAGAGGAGAAAGAAGAAAGGAAGAGGGGACGAGTGGATAGCCGGTGCCAGTGATGGGAAACATAAAGTCTATGCCCTATGATAGGGGCCAATGCAATCATTGCTGCAAAGAACAAAGAGCATTACTATATTAGATATGAATGAAAAATCAGGGGGAAAAATGAGTATGGGCATCACAATAATATAGAAAAATGTTTATTAAATTTTTAACACTATAGAAGAATGTTTGTTACATTTTTATATGTATAAAATGGAATACTGTGATGTTCTATAATATCACCTAATACCTTAGTAAAAATTATATATGTCTATATAGAAATGTAAATATATACATTTTTACTGTTACACATATATACATACAAATGCTGATAGTGTGTAGAGAAACCATCACACATACTATTGTAATTATAAATTGTAAAAACCTATGGCAATATATAACTAAGCCATTAATATAATTGTTTACTTCAGTCCATTTTTTCTGTTTTTGAAAATTTATTATGAGCACATTATCCCATAGGAGGAAAATACATTTGTATATGATTTTCCCTAGGATTTTCAAGATAAAATAACTGACAATAAGATTGGATCACATATTAAAAGATGTACAAACTGGCAATAAATTTCCAACTAAATGAAGGAACATACAAAATATGGCCTCTAGAAAAATATATGCTTAGTTTAAATAGAAATTATTACTATAATTATATTTCATGTATGAAGTTGTCTAGTATTGAGGAGAAATATCATCATTGTGTTTTTGATACATATTTTAAAAGTCTTTGTTAAAGGCAGTAAATTTTATGAAATTTACAAAACATGGGAATAATGGCATTTGAAAATATTATTTTTTGACATTAGCTGGAATGTAGGCTCTAGAGCACAGGTCATATAGGGAAGGAAAGGGTGTGCCCAGGAAAGCAGGGTATAGGGCTGGGGGAGGGTTCAGCATTAGCAGGGGACAGAGTGAGGAGGGAGCTTTCACCACTGAGGACATGGAGTTGACTCCACTGGTGGAAGAAGGGATAAAATGGTGCTTCTCAGAGGGTGAAAGGTGACAAAACTGAATGATGAGTGAAAAAGAAGGGAGAACAAGTCATTGGAATAGCTATACACATATTCTAGAAATAACAGATAATCTCTGTAGTGATCAAGAGCTTGAACTCTGGTATCAGATTCTCTTGGCTCAAATCCCAAGTCCCAGAGTGATCTTGGGAAAATTCTTTAACTTCAGAGCATCAGTTTCCTCATCTGAAAAATGCAGATGATAATGGAACCCACATCATAGAATTATTGTGCAGATTAAATAAATGTCCAGCAGGTAATACATGATCAACAAATGTAAAGGCTATTATTTGTACCAGAGAACAGGATTCCAACCTGTTTCCTGCTCTGTAAAAGAAGCATGCTAATCCTTGCCACTTGCCTAACTGGTAAATGGTGTGTTTATCCCTGAAACTTTCCAAATGATTCCTTGTTTCACTGTCCCAGTTAGCTGAGCCAGCAGTTGGCTGGTACTGGTGTGCCATTCAGCTAGAGAAGCAGGTCCTGCTTACTGCCCTTCTCTCACCCTTTGTTACAGGCAGGTGCTCAGTGACAAGCTACCCAGTCAGGGAAAGAAAAGAATGCTCCAAAGATGGCCTGTTTCTCCAGTCTTTTCCTGATCCAGTTATGTCTGGGAGAAATATTTGTCCTTGGTTATGTGCTGTTTCCCACCCTGAGTCATGTTTCTTCCTTTCTCTCATTATTCTCCACGCCTACCTTTTCCTATAATGGCAAAATGACTTTCTTGGGTTGTGCAGCCAAGCTGAGTAACCTAACATGTCCTACCATAGGCAGGTAGGTGTCTGTTCTATTTTTGGATAATTGTTGAAGTGTCCTTTGATTTCTCTAACTGCTGCATGGTCTTTCTTTGCCACAGACACACTGCAACAGTCAATAGCACAAAGAAGGAAGGAGGAAGAGAGATGGATGGTCACAAGTTGTAGTTCAGTTTTTATTTTAAATTTTGCTTTTCTACCATTGCATTTAGGGTACATAATTCTAGCAGGGTCCTCACACCTTTTCCCAAGGCCCTTTTTATTCAGTAAGACATAGGCAACATTTCTTTATGGAAAAGCCTTTAGCTGACTTCATTTCCTTTCATCTCTGTTTAATTTCCACTGCCCCCTTCACTTGGAGTTTGGGACAGGGGTGTCCAACAGCAAACCTGTGAAGAGTGAAGATTGCATCATTGGAAACTCCTGTTTTCCCTTTGCTGTCCTGAAATTCTGTTTGGTAGCATGCTTTTGATCAATGAATGGTGCTCTCATATGGTTCACAGCCCAAGGCCCTCATGCTTGGGTCCCTTATGTGGTTTTTCAATATCCCCTTCTCAGATCATCCATTCACACTGAAGTAATGGAGCTGTAATAGATTGAAATGTTACCCCACCCAAACGGTATCTTTCACTTAAACAAGCATCAAGGTGTAAGGTCCCAATGGTGGCGTTTCAGATACAGTCCAAAGAAAGTAGCTGAAGGGTGGGCACAAAATGTTTTTAAAAATACAACAGGTGTCTTCTTCTGCTCATTTGGCTATTAAGGGGTAAACGGGGAGAGGCAGGGAATTAGGTTGATTAAACTATGGAAGCCCAAATTATTTTTATTCCTAAAAACTGTAACCTGAATATCTTGTATAGCCTTATCCTGTGCTCCCTCCTCCGGTTCCTTCCCTTGTCCTCCCTGATACATATACACCTTGAAGGGAAAAATATACCAAATCCTGATTTGTGATAAGTTGCATTAGTGGTGGTAATTTTTCAATGCAGCACTACATACTTCAAAAAAAATTCTTAGAGTAATGTGTAACCTTGTAAAAATTCTTTAAGCTATTGTCATTTTAAATAAACATTCTAAAATGACAAAGTTTCAAGCTACAGAAATAGAGCTTTTATATGATTTCTCTATTATGCTATTTAATTTGGCCTGGATTTAAGTGAGACAATGTACGGATCTGTTTTCTAAAATGTAAAATGCTATTAAAACAATGTTTTAGTATTATAAATTTCAAAATGGGAAATAGGATAGTTAAAGAAATAGCAGCACTCTAAAATGCCAGAAAGTATGCTTCCAAACAAGTTTCTAAATATTAGGTGTTTCATATCCCCAAAGATGTGAAATAAATTTCAGATAAGAGAACTGGAAGTAATTATTAGAATTAGTACATTTCAACTCCTCTTGCAAATGAAGGAAATTATGAAGTCAGAAGATGATTTCCATTCCGACTCTGAAATAATCCCAAGTTTTCTTCAATTATTTATTCACATAATCATTCATTCGAAAATACTGATTGATTGATCTCACTGAGTGCTGGGCACCATTTCAGAATCCCAGGAAACAAAGATGAAGTCATGCTTTTAGATCTAACTAAGCAGTCTAGTGGGGTTAGTTAACAAGGTTAGTTTTACTGTGTGGTAAGTGTTAATTGGGGTTTGTACAAGGTTTTATATGAAGACACATAAGAGGCACTTAATGAGGAAAACTTTTAGAAACAGGAGGGGTTAGACCAGCCATGAGGAGAAGAAGAGTGATGCTGGTATGGGGAGAGGAGAGAGCTGGGCACTTCAGTGAGGGCTGAAGATGACAATGGGTTGATAGTGAAGGCCTTTTATATATTGTTCAAGAGTTTGGATTTTATTGTAAGGGCAATCACATACAATTGATAGTTTTAAGCAGGAGAATGACATGGAAGTTTTGATGTGATCACTTTTGTTTTGAAGGGGAAGATGGATTGGAGAAGGTCATATTGAAGCCTGGGAGTGAGGCCAGTAAGCAGGCTATAGCAACTAGCTAGCAAAAGATGAAGACAGCAATGATTATGGCACTATAGCAGTGATTTTGGTAGAAAAATCTTCAAATAAAATAAATTTTAATTAATTTAAAATATAGAGTAACATTATTTTGAGGGGAAATGTCACAATGATAAAGATTAAAATTGTTACAAATCTAGGAATATCTGTCATAAAGAATCAAAGCCACATACACAGTTTCACAATCAACTGAAGAGTAAAAAGCGAATGCATATATTATATTTATAGCACACCAACCCTTTAACTGATAGAAAATTCATGATTTTTAAAAATTCCTGGACTGAACAGATAGATTGGTTTGCATATACATAGCCAAGTCTTCATCCTACTGAAGCCACAGAAAACAATGAGCTAGAAAACTCTGGAAATTTTTTTTTTAGTTCAATACTTTCCTTAAAGATAAGAAAATCAAGATCCCCCGAGATTAAACCATTTGCAGTAGGTGACACACCTCAGTAACAGGAGTGCTGAAACTGGAATCAAGATGCTTGGCCTTGAGGATAGGGCTCTTTTCATTACATTCCAACAGCTTCCCAAGAAAGGCCTCTAAATAAATTCATGGGATGTGGACAATGATTGAAAAAGAGGACTTTCAAAGTTCTTTGAAACTATAAAGAGCATTTTTAAAAGCCAGACACCTGCTTTATTATTAGAGGTTGGCCAATTTTCCAGATAAACTGACAACCAAAAAATCTATGCCAATATCCGCAACTACTCTTCACATACTCACTTTCCAAAAATAATTTTAGACTCTAGTCTGGCTTCATGGTACCAGTATCCAAGAACATGTAACTTATATTGTTTTAGTTTCTCATTTAAAAAATTGAAAACAGAAATATCAGTTTATTTAGGATTAGCAAGAGACTTTATTTCATAAAGATGAAATATGGTAGGTTTATGAACAAGCTATTCCATACTATTCATCAAATGATAGAAAAATTAGTAGGGAACCTCTTTAAGTGTTGGGAAAACAAAGAATTAAATTACCAATCTCATATTTTTTTACCAATACATTCCTGAGTAAGCAATAACTCATGTATATTTTTATTATGAGTTTGAAAAGGTTGTCTATTGATCAGTTCTATATTTAATGTAAGAAAAGCAATGAATGTATCTATGGGTTTTTAGAAAGTTTATTATGGATATTCGGAAAGTCTCCAAGTCATGAACCTCTCACCCACACCCAGCTAAAAAACAAACATGCTTGCACATGAAACCTGGATCCACTTGGTACAAAATTTCAGTCTTTGAAATAGTTAATGGCAAATCTCTATAAAAATTCACTTTGAAAGTATCCAGTGCTATTCAGAAATAAGGAGCTCATATTTATCATTTGTTAAAAGTTAATTGGTTTTGTTATATGACTAAGTATATGTATTTTGGCTTTAAAACTTGCCAAATGAGTGGTAATGCCTTAAGGTAATGATCATGAGGGTCTTTTCTACAGATGCTAAAATGGCCTAAGACAGTTTTTATAAGTGTCTTTTGAGACTACCTTCAGAAAAATACAAGTTTCATAATTTAATCATTCATTTGCTTTGGTCTCCAAGAGTATTCCAGTTTGATCATGCTTTATTTCACCAATCCTGGCAATTTGGAAAAATAAAATTAATATTTGAATGAAGATTTGTCATCTTTTAAGATATTCAAAGGAATGTTAATTCAGGTTCTTATAGTAATTCTGAAATTTGAGCATGTTTATACTTTTAAGATATGTAAATTAGTAACCACTCACATCATAGAAATAGTTTGTGTACGCTATCATTTTGGAATAATGAGATTTTTAAAACAACACCAACTCATAACATTGAAATAGGATTGTACAGTTCAAAATGATAAGAATAATTCTATACTGTGTAACAAAACCCATGTTACACAACATATTAAAATTTTATAGCTGTTAGTGTTTAATTTATATATAATAGCTCAGTCGCAAGAACCCAACAGATTGACAACTTTCTTAGAAGTCTCTCTACATGAATCACTGTAGTTGAAATTGTACTTAAGTGTAAGAAATAGCCTTTATTGTAAAATGTTATCAATTAGCACCAATATTACTTGAAGGTAAAGTGAAACATTAATAGGAATTCAGCATATAGGTTTAATTTCTAACTATAAGAGAGAAAGCATCTCCTAGACAAAATAAGAATTAGATACAGATTATTTTAAGATAAACATTAGTTATAAAACATTTCAGGGTTTTGCTTGGAAAGTTAGAAAGAAAAGCAAGTACATTGGTCTTTTACATTCTGTTCCCGAAGAAGATAGATATGCTTACATAATCAAGGCAGTGCAATCTCAGCAGAGAAATTCCTTGTGGGAGATATAGTTACTCATTTTATATATTAGCTCAACAAGAACACAAATACAATAAAAGTACTTTAAAGCAATCTGATTAGAGCAACATTTACATTAAGTACAAAATATACAGTAAAATGAAATGTCTTGTTAAATAGGACTGTCGATTAACAATACCTTATTTTAAGGAACACATTTGCATAAATCAATTTTCACATTTGTTTTATTTATTTGATAGCCTCTATTACTGCTGTATGCTTTCATTATTGCAATTTCTAGAATCTTTGTATATCTTATTACTAAGTATCCCTATGGCTTTATCTGCAAGGGTAATTTAAAAGTATTACTTCCAGAGTAAAAAAATAAGAAATCCCATATTTTTATGTGCAGTTGTGCACAAAACCATTGTAGTATTTGAGAGAAATGTACTTTGATTATTATAAATTCATCATGATAAAATACATACTTTTGTACTAAAGCAAAAAGTGTTTGCCTTTAAAATCAGTGTTTCCAACCTACTGTATGATTCTGGTTATAAAGTTAGATATGAAATCCTTGGTTATTAATTATAAAATAATTATTTGAAAAAAATTGCCAATAAACATTTCTAAATGTGGCTGCCCATCTTAATAGTTTTCTTAATGAGAACAGCTAGGCAATGAACAGAACAGTAGTTGCTTTATGCTATAACAACAAAGAAGTATTACAGTATCCAAATCTCCAGACCTGGGTCCCAGTGTTCAGTTGTGGCTCAGTTGCAAGCTGACAGAAGAGAAGATGCGTCCTACGCTTGTACACAATGGAGCAATGACAACATCTGTCACACTCTTCCATATTGTCTGCACTGAAGGCTGGACCAGTAGGCAGGTCTTTACAAAAGGCATTATAATCCTGGAATGGAGGAAGAGATGTGTAAGGATTATTGGTGTTACCAAATAAGGCCACTGACACTTGCACATGCGTGAAAAGATATAATGGCCTACTTCACCTAAATTTGGTTGAACTTTTGAAACAAATAAAAAAAAAAGTGACCCAAACAGTGATAAGATACACAGAAGTTATGTTGCTTAAAAAATAAAGAGGCAGGAAAATGATAAACAGTAATCTTATTTCTATTGGCAGTATGCTATCTGAATCAGTAAAACAAAAAATAAATCAAACAATAAATTTATCTGACCTTTACTCCTAAACATTAATCTGCCTAATTCTCCATATTTCCCTGTGATTCTAATTCCTGGTAGCCTTTCCTGTTGTCTTATTCAACTTCCCTTCCCCTTAGGACAAGCTGGGTTGAATACTTTGTGTGTGTGCCTCTAACATATTGAAACAAACTTCTTAATCCTCAAATTTATAAAAACGTATCATAAATACATGCGTATATTTCTGTCTTTCCTACTAGAATGGAAATTATTTTAGTGAGGCCATCCTTGACCCTTAGTAAATGTTTGACGTAAAGTGAATTTAGCATTCTGTTATGGTTTATATTTTTAATTTTTCATAGTAATTACATATACTGAAAAGGGTTGTATGGTATAGTTAGAAGAACCCTGCAATTATATCAGAACTCTTAGACAAGAAAAACTAGACTATACTGAAATTGTTTTATTCGTACATCTTTTCTTAAGATAACTGCATATTCTCATATTCCTCAGGCTGGCTTTTCTATGTCACCATCTGAATAATGTTTTCTGTTGCAGTAGTGCTCTTTGAGCAAAACAGTATTTGTGAATTCTCAGGCCTTGCTGATAGCCTCAATGGAATTTTTATTATTACCTGGGTGGGCACAAGAAAGTAAGGTTGATTTCCTTGGCTTGCTATTAAAATGTGATTTAAATAAAGGTCTATTGTACTTAGTTCAAAGTGAAAGAAAGATCAAGCAACTGTCTGACTGCAATATTTTAGGATACTGAATTATTCATATTGACTGCTTACTACACAGATTATATTTATCTTGTGTTTTATTCTAGTGCTAAAGACTTGAAGCAATCTTTAAAGAAAATTAATTACTAGGTGTTTCAGAGCTAACTAGTTGAACTGAAACTATTCAATTCATTCAGACAGCAATGTTTGACTTCTTATTCCATTAGTTTCTCATTTTATGTGTGGCTTTGGGTAAATCACTACAAATTAAAGTATGACCTGGAAATCTTAGAGTGGTTTTCAGGACTGACATTATTATGCACCCTTGAAATGTCCAGATGATGTTGTCATTATAATAAATAGAATTATTTTGAAGTCAGAATATATAATGAAAACAATTATAACAAAATAATCTCAAATTGACATAATACAAGATTTAAGTTCAGATCAGAAAACTTCTTAACCAAATCCACTTCACTCAGAATATAATTAACTTTCCTTTCTCTCTTAGTCTAAGAAATGTTCTATCCCCATAAATTAGATGTCCATGTCCTAAGAAGGAATTAAACTCACAACAAAAGTGGATTTTCCAGTTCAGCAGACTTGCAGTAGCCCACATTTGAGGACTTTAATTCATAGGATGTGGTGAGTTCATTTTAATGTTATTTTCTTTAAAGTTGTTGTTCTCTCACTTTGGATCAAAGAATCCAATTATTCTCTGATATCAAACAAACTTTTCCCCCAGTATCCTAAGTAGTACTCCTTCAGAAACTCAGGCAATTTGGAATAACCCAAAATGGTTGAGGCTCAATGTGGCCAACCTAAACACTTCTTCTTTTTAAAAAATAGATTTAGAGAGAAGAAGGGGGATAGAGAGAAACATCGATGTGAAAGATAAACATAGATTGGTTACCTCTCCTAGGAACCCTGACTGCGGATTGAACCCTCAACCTGGGTATGTGTCCTGATGGCGAATCGAGTCCACCACCTTTTGGTGTATGGGACAACGCTCCAACCAACTGAGTGACACTAGCCAGGGCCCAAAACTTCTTAAATAAATCTTATAAGATTATATATCCCTCCATTGGATAATAAAGCTCTTAGGACAGAGACTTTTATTTACTTTTGTATTAAATATAGTGTCATGTGGATTGCATTGTCACAGTAATTTGCTATCTTAAAAAAACCTTCTGGAAAATGAGACTGATACTACTGGATTTCCATCAGTGGAACCAGGTATTTGAATTGTATCCCAGAAAAAATAAGGGGTAAGGGAGCTCCAGCCACATTTCTTTGGTATGATTTATTTATGACCAATAACTTGCAATTGCCAAATGGTGGCTATCTCAGTCTGACTGTGGTGAGGAATCAAACCAATTCCCTGGATCCTAATGACCTGTAGTCTGGCCTAGGATACAACATCGCCAGACTGAGTTCAGGGTGTTTTTTGTTGCTGTTGTTTTTATTTGTTTAAAAAATTTAAAAATCACACCAGTTAAAATAAACAAACAAACAAACAAACAAACAAATAAATAAATAAATAAATATCACACCAGTTGTGATGATGTGATGTGGTTTGAAGACCTACTATTTCATGTTTTCATAGATTTGGTCACATACTCGCTGCCAAAAGAAAAAAAGAAAAGGAGACAGAGCTTACTCGAATAGGTTTGCTCTTCTCTAAAGCCTCTACTTGATCCATTCTTATCATGTCATGCAGTCTACTAATGATAAATCTATTTTTATCAAGGTATAAACTAATTTAAGCATTTTTGTCTGAAGCTACTTCTCTACTCACAATCACAGCTGTGTGATGACAAATGTGTGATGGTTAAATATTGGCCCACATGAATGTAATCTGAAAAACAAGCTGAAGTTAAATAATACATTTTATGTGGCTGAAAAAGAAGTGGTTTGATGATTCACCATTAGAAGCACTACACAAAAACACCTATCATTCTCAGGAGAGCCGGGGGAGAGAAGCATCATTTGGTTAATTGTAGTTTTACTTATATCTTTCCACCATTTAGAAAATGAAAACCTTTTTGTTTTCAAGTCTTCCAAAAGTGCTTTAGGAAAACCTGGCTTTGTTGACTATAAACATGGCACTCTGCATTTCTAAATAGCTTCATAGCCAACATTTCACAATATGCTATGTGGTTACTCAGTTTTTCACATTTTTGGAAGTGAGAAAACTAACATAGAGATTAGATGACTGGTTTTAGTTCACTAGGAATTCAAAATTTTATATGCTGATTTAGGTATCTTTAAAAAAAAAATCTATGTGTTGCCATGGCTGGGTGACTCAGTTAGTTGCAGCATTGTCCCATACACCAAAAGGTTGTGGGTTCAATCCCTGGTTGGGGCTCATATGGGAGGCAACCCATCAGTATTCTCTCTCGCATTGATGTTTGTCTTTCTCCCTTCCTCTCTCTCTAAAAATATAAAGACACAAAAAGCCCCACACATATCCTCGAGTGAGGATTAAAAAAAATTCATGTACTAATATCAAAATATGAACTAGCTATACACCTAGCCTTTGTGGATCTGCTAACATATAAAGGCAAAGGTTTTCACTCATTTGGCAATCTTTTGGCACTTTCAACATAGTTGTTTACAATCTTCAGTGATTAAACTGAATTGATGTTCATTGTTTATCCTTTACATATTTGGTGAATTTTTATTTATCCTTTTTAGACTCTTTTCTCTAATAGCCTTTCCTGTGCCTCCCTCCTCCTCGACAGATTTAAGTGAGTTTTCTCAGCACCCACCTTTATACCTAGCCTGCTGCCTTGTACTGTGAAGAAGCTGAAGGCAGATCCTGCATCTTATTCATCCTGGGCCCAGTGCCTTGCACAAACTAAGCATTCAATAAATTTTCTTGATTGAATTAAACAGCTAGCTAATTGACTAAAGAAATTGATTCAGATGATAAAGGGAAATGGAGAATAATTTTGTAACTTCTAATAAGGAACACATTATAAGTTAGGGTGCAGCAATACCATATAAAGTGATTAGAAAAGGCATGGAGGCATCTGGGGTTACATATTATTTCACCACGATGGCCCTAAAGCACAAGCTTGGCAACTATTGCCTCTAAATAAAGTGGGTAACTTAAAAATCAACAAGAAAAAAAACTTCTTGGTAAAATATGACATTTTCCTTTAAAATTTTTTAATGCTTAAAACTGTTCTCCAAAGCTTTATGATGCATTTTGAGTGTGAATAAAGTTACTCAAAGCATCCTACCAATGTCCAGCAGTTTTCTATATATTTTTTCTATAACTAGAGTTGTTCCTTACAGGTGAAGTAGTTTGGAGGCCTTCTCACTTCATTACCCTGCGGTCTGAATTTTCACTCACATGGTCTCATCCTTGCCTTTGCCCTGGCAGAGCTGGAGCGGCCCCTCCACAGCACTGCTTAGCCAGGCCTCACATCGTTTCCCAGTGATTTCGTCCCTGGCATTCTGCTCAGAGATCACTCTTGTTTTACCCCAAGCAAAGGTGGAGACTGCATAAAAGGCGATGAAAAAAAAGAGCCCCGCCCAAAACCACAGGCACAAGTCATAACACAGCCCCAGGAGAGAGCAGCAGCCTGTGGCAGGCAATGTGGCCTCCAGGTTTCCATCTCCACGGGCAGCTGGGCTCCAGCGTTCAAAGGAAAATCACATCCGAGGACAGAGGGACATTCCTTCTGTTTAAACTCCTAACCCAACCCACAATTCTCTCCACCTCCGCACCTCCAACCTATGATTCTAAAGAAAGCACACTGCCTTTCAAGGCCTCCCATTCTTGCCACAGTATCAGGAGCCGAAGTGAGTTCTTCCCCCTGCAAGCCCACCTGGGAGAAGGGGGGGCAGGTGGCAGGTGGCGTGTGGCAAAGAACATTCCAGAAAGTTGGTTCCACCCCCGGTGTGCCCCTTCTCACCAGATGTGCAGACAGCTGAGGGTGGCAAAGAGAATTCCAGCAGCAAAGGCCAGGGGGATAGCCAGGAACACGGTCAGGAACTTGTAAATCACGTATTTGCTGACCTCAAAGAGGGCATGGCTGCAGATCCACACTTTGTCAAAGGAGTGCGTGGACTCGGGCTCCGCGATCACGTCCTCGAAGTCCACCTGCGGAAACAAGACTCGGGGGCTCCGACCGGTCACCAAACCTGCCGCCGTGGGAACCGGGGCCTCTCAGGGTGGGGGGAGCAAAACGGAAGGATTGCCCGGGGCGCCCCACCTTCCCTTGGGGTCACGGCTGGCGCACAGGAATTTGGCTAAGAATCCCTGGCTCTGCCGGCTGGAGTATGCCGGATCCTCGGACCCCCGCACGGCCGGCC